TGGATGTTGGCTTCAGCTATGGCGTCGTAACAAGCCAGCCATGTGCTTCCACTCCAGCCGGCTCTGCGTTTCTGGAGGAGAGGGCTTTCTCTGGCTGCCCCTGCAGACAGGACCCTTCATGACATTGGCCAGCTCATCAACCCTCCAAGTCATCCCAGACAGCCGGGGGCTGGAGAGGCCCCAGCTCTGCTGAGAGGTGAGCACCTGCCAGGCTTAATTAACTGGTGCATCCAGGAAAGGTGCCTAGTCATTATAACTTGCAACTGGAGTAGCAGGGCCTGGCCCCACCTGGCACTGCCGCAGGCCAGGGTGCCTCCCTGGAGCAGAAAGCAGGGAGCCACCTCACAGCAGCCCAGGGGCACTGTGCCAGGTGGGGCTGGGTGAGGAAAGAGCAGCTAATCATTACGGGCATTTGTAGGGGGTTTGGATGGGCCTCACTTGGCCTAGCCTGCAGGACACAGGGCTGTGGGGTGGGACATAGTTTCACTTGCTTTCTGTTTTCTCATAGCTCCTGGGGTTCCCTGAGCAAGGCATGGGTGGGGCAGGTGGTTGTGTTATTCACTTGGAAAAGAAAGATTAAATTTTGCTTGGTTTTGTTCTGCAGGGGAGATTAAGTGGATTTTCTCCGGGGCTAGTTCTTGAATAAGAGAGTGAATGGCTCTTAGACTTGGACCTGATGGCTCAGAAGAGGGGGTCAAGAGGGACTACTTAACTGCTCTGGGCCTCCCAGGGCCAGCATGGGCAGGAAGCTGGCATGGGCAGCCAGAACCGGGCATGTGAGATCACTCACGGTCGCCCCCTTCAACACAAAGGCCTCTGGCTCCTTCTCTCCCCACTCCACCTTCTGAGCTAACAAGGGCACCCAGCCAGCCATCTTGCTCCAACTTAGCCTGGAGAAATTATTTACCCAGCGTGACCACGGATATAGGCAAGTATGGCTTTCCCCCTGTGGGACAGGGACACGGCTTTGCCACCATGGCCGTTGACCACTGTCCTACCACTGCCCCTCTGGTGCGGCACTGGATGTTTTGTGTGGCAAGATGATTCAGCCTCTGAGGTCATCACAGGCCAGCAGGGCCATGTGCTCATGGGGCACTAAGGTGGCAGATTAGGAAAGGCTGCTTTTGTTTATGTCCATCTACTTGAAAGGTGAAACATGGGTTGGGAGAGCAAGATTGGAGGGTGGAAAGGAGAAAGAGACCAAGAGATTGATTCCACCCATTGACCCGTTCCCCAAATGCCTGTAACAGTTGAGACCAGGCCAGGCAGGTGCCAGGAGCCCTGAACTCCATGCAGGTCTCCCTTGTGTGTGGCAATGATCCAAGAACTTGAGCCATCGTTTGCTGCCAAGATTCATAACACAAGTTGGACTGGAGGTGAAATAGCCGGGACTCAAACCAACTTTCTGACAAGAAATGTGAGCATCACAAGAAGCAGTGCCTACCCCAGAGGCCAGTTTTGAAATAATAAAATTCCACATGAGGGTAGGTGTGCCACCCAGCAATTTTAAGATGCTACACGCCTTATCAGAATTCCTGAGTTTGCTGCCCACACTGGCTTCTGATCCCAGCTCCCTGCCCATGTTATCCTAGGCGGTAACAGTGAAGCCGCGCACTGGTCAGTCTCTGCTCCCCACTTGGCAGATCTGGATTGAGTTCCTGGCTCCCAGCTGTGGCAAGACCCAGCCCTGGCTGCTCAGCTCTCCATCTCTGCCTCTCCGACACAGAACTGCACCATGGGAAGCCGGCACAGATGAGTGCAAACTGAAGCCATAAAAGCAATTCAAATCCAAAAAGCACTGAGCTGGAAAGCAGCTATGGCTGTGGAAGGGAGCCAGGCCTGGTTCACACCCATGCCCATCTCTTGGCCTGGGTGTCCCCTCTCGGCTTATGTCCTGGCAGAATTTTCCTACTTTTCTGATGGAGGGTTGAAGAGTGTGAGAGCTACTTGTGTGAGGGGGGAGCAAGAAGGGATTCAGCAGGGCAAACGGTGCCCTCAGCCTCAACCGCCTGGGCAGCTAGAGAAACGCTGTTGTCATTTGAAAAGGTTCTTCAAGACACCAACTTCCTCCTACGATGCCGGCATATTAGTGCCGATTTTTCTGAGTCCCAGCTGCTTTGCTTCTGTTCCAGCTCCCTGTTAACATGTCTGGGAAGACAGTGAAAGACCCGAAGGCCACTCCCTGGCACCATGGCAGGCATGGATAGAGTTCCAGGCTCTTGGATTTGATGTGGTTCAGCCAGTTGTGGCCAGTTGGGTGGGGGGTGGACAGGAGGTTGGAAGATTCCTATCATTTTTTTTTTTTTAAGATTCATTCATTTTTATTGGGAAGGCAGATTTACAGAGAGCAGAGACTGAGAAATAGTTTTTATTTGCTGGTTCACCCTTTAAAATGGCTGCAACGGCCCAAGCTGAGTTCATCCAAATTCAGGAGCCAGGAGTTTTTTGCAGGTATCCTGTGTGGGTGCAGCGTTCCAAGATTTTGGACTGTTTTCTTTCTTTCTTTTTTTTTTTTTCTGTTTTCAACTGCTTTCCGAGGCCACAAGCAGAGCTGGATGGGAAGTGGGGCAGCCGGGACATGAGCCCGTGCCCATATGGGATTCTGGCCTTTAGAGCTGGAGGATTAAGCCGATTGAGCCATGGTGCCAGGCCCTGTAGGTATTCTCATATTCTGCAGACCAGATCAAGGTGTAGTCCAACGTCTACCTCTACCGCTCTCTAGCTGGGTGAACCTGGGCTGTCTCAGGCAATTACTCAACAGCCCTTTCCCCATCTGTAAAATGGGGAAGCGACATGCATCTCCCAAGTGGTCACACAGGCATGCCTCATTCCACGGCACTCTGAGAGTGGCATGAGGAACCCCAGGACCCGGTAGAGTGCAGAATGTCCCGTGTGTGGTGTCAAGCACAGGGTGGGGCACAGCACAGCCCTCCGCGAGGCTCAGAGAGGGCTGTGTGGCAAATAGCCTGTGTGTGTTTCCCTCCACCTAGCCGCCCAGTCCTCTCTCTCTCATCCCCTGTGAGACATATCCTGGGGATGTGGGGGTGATTAAGGCTGCTGAACCACCAGCCATTGCAAGCCTATCCTTCACTTAGGAACTCCAAAGTCCTCCAGGAGCATTAATTAGTAACCACCTGGTACCAGGCTGGAGCCCAGTCAACTGTGTGCTGAGCAGGTAAGGCAGGGAGCAGCTGAAAGTTTATGTGTCTTGGGCCTGGGACAGCTCCTGTGCTTGAGGAGCAGCGAGATCTTCAATAAGGTGGGCACACATGTCAGCATAAAGAGTAAGGGTCTGGGCCCGGTGGCGTGGCTTAGCAGCTAAAGTCCTCGCCTTGAACGCATCGGGATCCCATATGGGTGCCGGTTCTAACCCCAGCAGCTTCACTTCCCACCCAGCTCCCTGTTTGTGGCCTACGAAAGCAGTCCAGGACACACCAAAGCTTTGGGACCCTGCACCCGCGTGAGAGACCTGGAGGAAGTTCCTGGCTGCTGGCTCTGGATAGGCACAGCACCGGCCGTTGTGCTCACTTGGGGAGTGAATCATTGGATAGAGGATCTTCCTCTCTATCTCTCCTACTCTGTATATATCTGACTTTGTAATAAAAATAAATAAATCTTAAAAAAAAAAAGAGAGAGAGTAAGGGTCCTGGGCGTGGCGCCGTGGCCTAATGGTTAAGGTCCTCGCCTTGAACGCGCCAGGGTCCCATATAGGCGCCAGTTCTAATCCAAGCGGCCCTGCTTCCCATCTAGTTCCCTGCTTGTGGCCTGGGAAAGCAGTCAAAGACACCCCAAAGCCTTGGGTCCCTGCACCTACGTGGAGACCTGGAAGAGGTTCCTGGTTTCAGGCTTCGGATCGGCACAGCACCGGCCGTTGTGGCCACTTAGCGAGTAAATCAATGAGTGGGAGATCTTTCTGTCTCTCCTCTCTGTATCTGACTTTGCCATAAAAATAAATAAATCTTAAAAAGTCTTTTGAGGAAGCATTTAAAAAATCTGTGAAAGTGCCCAAGCATTTACACATTTAAATTGAAACACTTCACTACTGTTACATTAATAATATTACACTATTAGGATTAAAAAAATTAAGGGCTAGAGTGCCCTTAAGTGCCATATGGGCACTTATTGTGTCCTGTTTGCTTTATTTTAAGTCCAGTTTCCAGCTTATGGGTTCGGAAGGTGGTGGAGGGCTTAAGTCCTTGGACCCCTGATCCATGTGGGAGATCTGGAAGAAGCTCCTGGCTCCTGGCTTTGGATCAGTTCAGCTTCAGCTATCGTAGCCATCTGAGTGAACCAGTGGATGAAGACCTCTGTCTCTCCACAAATCTACCTCTTTACAAATCTTCTATATTAAAAAATATTTTGGCCTGCCTGGTGCAGTAGCCTAGTGGTTAAAGTCCTTGCCTGGCACACCTGAGGTTCCATGTAGCCACTGGTTTGTGTCCTGGCTGCACCACTTCCCATTCAGATCCCTGCTTGTGGCTGAGGAAGACAGCTGAAGATGACCCAGGGAAAAAAAAAGAAAAAAAAAATGGCCCAGGGTCTTGGAATCCTGCACCTAAGTAGGAGACCTGGAAGCAGTTCCTGGTTCTGGATTGGTTCAGCTTCGGCTGTTGTGGCCACTTGGGGTGTAAATCAGAGGGGCAAGATCTTTCTCTGTATCTCCTTCTCTCTGTACATCTACCATTCTAATAAAAATAAAAATTTTAAAAGTTTTTATTAAAGATTTTATTTTTATCACATAGTCAGATATAGAGAGAGGAGGAGAGACAGAGAGGAAGATCTTCCATCTGATGATTCACTCCCCAAGTGAGTGCAACAGCCAGTGCTGAGCTGATCCGGAGCCAGGAACTTCCTCCAGGTCTGCTTTCCCAGGCCACAAGCAGGGAGCTGGATGGGAAGTGGAGCAGTTTGGACATGAACCAGTGCTCATAGGGGATCCTGGTGGATGCAAGGTGAGGACTCCAGCCACTAGGATATTGCACCAGAGTCCCACCTTTCTTTCCTTCTTTTAAAGGCAAAGTTACAGAGAGAGAGCTCTGAAAGAGAGCTGGGCTGTTTGGAAGCCAGGAATTTCAGCTGGCATGGTAAGAAGTCCCCCCTGCTTTAGGAAAACCACCATGAAATGACCAATGTGCTGTTTGCTTTCTGCTCCTGATTTCCTTAGCTCCCTTTTCTGTCTGTAAGGTCAACTTTATGTGTGGCTAACAGGTCACCCAGTCCATTCCATAGGAAGAAGTGTGTGGATTCCCCAATTGCAGACGAGGTCCCTTAAGATCTTCAAGCTAAGTTTGATTCTGTGCTCCTTCAGATGGACCTGGCAGTCACAGCTACAGTGGCTCTGGTGAGCCCTGATGGTGCAGGCTGGGAACAGGCAGCGCATGAATGTTCCTGGCTTCTGCTGGGCTCATTCCCTTGCCCCACCCCCTCTCGCCAGAGTGGGGTCTCTCCGGCAAAGTGCAGCAATTCATCCAGAAGCTCCCAACTCTAATTAAATAAAAACATGACTAAAATTTAGTAGGTGCTAAAACTTGGTTTTGAAATTTTATTAAAAAAATATATTTGCAAACATATAAAATTTAGGATGAAAAAATGCTCATTTTAAAACATGTAATAACTTAATCTTTGCAAACATACACAGATGGTATAAAACCCATACCATTAGAAATGCTAATGATGCAGTACTGTGCCCGCGGGACAGAAGCCGGGCTACAGTCCGGGACCTCACGGGCCCGCGCTCCAGGGAGCTCAATGTCGGGTGACAATGTAGATCGCGACAGCCACATGGCCAGAGCAGTGACACAGAATAAAAAACACAACGCACACTGTATAAACATGTTTCTTAAGGAATCGCACAGATGAAAGAGAAACAGGGTTTTGCATTTTCCCCACCTCAAGGTGAAAGATATTGCATCCTAGCATTTTCAATGAAGATGTCACATACAACTGAGAAACACCGCAGACGGGGCGTCCTCGGAGGCTGCTGAACAAAACAGGCCACGGAAAGCACTGGGCCATTCCAGGAGATGTTCTCCAGTACAGCTCATGTAATGAGCCCAGCGTAAGCTGCTTTACTTTGCTTTTATCTTAAACACTGGGCATGGCTGGTTCTATAAGGTACTCTGAACATAACTGAGGAAAATCAAAGCTGGAAGGAAAGAAACTTGTGCTCAGCGGGCAGTGTGTAGTGAGGATGTGGGACCGTGCGCCGTGTCCCCTCGCTGGCCCAGGACACACCCACGTGTGCCAGTGCCCCCGAGTTCCTCTCACAGTTCCAGCAGGATGGTGGAGTGTGTTTTTAAGCAGTTAGGCACCTTCAATTTCATGTTGCATTATTAGTAATTGGATGGCAGTTATGGCCTCTACTTACCAAAAAGAGAAAACTTCAAACTACATTCTTAGGGGGAGGGGAGTGATAAAGCTGCACGATTTAAGCAGTGGATTTAATGAGGGTGTGTAAATCCTATAAGAAAAAATGCAGGCCCGAAGAGGAGCAAATGTTTACATGCAAAACCTGGGCAGACACCACTAAACTTAAGCCAGTACGACCCCCTGACTTGGGTTCCGAGCAAGACTTCACTAGCTCCCAGTAGGAACTACCCTTAAGCTTTCAAGGCAAGCTGTGGTCAGTTCACAGGCAGACAGCAAAGATGTTTCTCTTGGCACCAGGAGTCACTTGAAAACTTAGGACTCAATCAACTTCTACACCTCAGCAACCCAGGGAGAGATGCGCGAGGAAGAGGCACTCTTAACAGGAACAAAGCTCTCTGGAGGCTGTCGCATCAGTTACAATGAAAAGAAGAGCAGCGCCACCCTCTGGCTGTACCTCGCACAGCTGTACTCCAAGCTCTGGGCTGGTGGATCCACCGTGGGTGGGGGCAGACCCAGGTGGACAGAGTGGTCTAGATGCAGGTCTCCCGGGGTTTTATCTGGCTGACCATTTCAACTGAGCCAAGGTTTCAGGAGACACTGTACAACCTAAGCTAGTATGAAGTGGTGGAGGGAATTTGAGGGGTGGGGGGTGGGCAAGGTGTGTGTGTGTGTGTCGGGGGAGTGGATAAGGCAACAGAATTGTGACTTTCAGGCCAAGGCCACCCAACTGCAAGTACCCAGGCTGGGACTGGCTCTCTAGGGACTAATGCTGGCCTGAACCTCCTGGCAATCACACTGTGAACTTTTAGTTTCCAAATCCTAAGTAAATACTTTGGATATACATAAATTTGGGAGCTAAAACAGGTTTACCTTTTACAAGTCTCCATGACTTGGGCACTTAAAAAAGTGTACTTTCACACTAAGGAAGCCTTATCATAGAATCTCTTCACTGTCTATCATATTCATTCTTAGGAGTACAGGGTGAAAATTAACAGCTCTGATTACAGACTTCTAACAGTATACATACTAGAAAGCATCACTTAAATGCAAGTGTTTATTGTAATAAGCATCCCTGGATGCGCCCACCAGGACTGCTCCTTGGGGTGCATCCAGTTCATCACAACTGTCACGGGCTCCGTGGATGCCATCTCCTGGGGTCAGCAACACACCGCATCTTTCCCCTACTACAGTTTCCTCCTTCCTGGGTGATGGACAAGCTACTTATTTTTGGTTGCAGAACCTACATACTATCTTTGAAGACAAATCATCTCTAGTGGAGTATGAGAATGTGGTAAGCTTCCCTGAATTCGGAACAATTCCCATGGAACTGGGCAGGCAGCAAGGGAGGACACTGGCCGGAGAAGCAGATATGCCGCCCAGGAAGCATGTTTATGTTAACAAAAGCCAATCCAACAAAACATTCTTTATGCTTAAAAAAAAAAAAAAAAAAAAACCAAACACCAAAAAAACCAAAAAACTATGCACAAACTAAAACAAGTAAGAAATTTCACAAGTAATTTTCTAAAATTTCAGATAGGAAAAAAATAATCTATGGATTTATGATTGGGTTACTATTAAAGCTTAATGACTGTTCCCGAGGAACTATCACATCTGTCAGCGTTATCCACAGCTAATCTTTTGTTAGCTGGTGGAGCTGATTGGGTTTTGACCCTATGATTAAATAGTGCTCAGAAAAGTAAGCAGTGCATCTTAACCGGTTAAATACTACAAAATGACCTGTATCATAGAAACGAAGACACTTTCATTTGAAGAATATCTTAAAATTACTATTGCTGAAATAAATCAAAATCTACATTAAAATATTACTAAACACCATTACATGCCATAAAAGAATAAATATAAATCATGGCAGAGCAATAGCAGCATAACAAAGCATCTTACATGTTTTCACACTGTGGGCTGGGAAAGCACTCTCAGCCGAGGGTCAAGTTCTCAGTCTCGCGCTTTCATCTCCATTTTCTGTAACAAAGTAAGGGCAGTGTGAATAACAGCTCCCTTTTCTGCATAGCTTCAAAACTATTCTTAGGACACGCCAGGAATGGAACCAGGATGGCTTTGTCGGATTGGTCCACTGGTCCTTTTGTCAAAAGTGTTAGGAAAATTATCAACAACGACTAGTTGTGTAGAGACAGAGAAGCAAAAACAAGGCTGTGCTTCACACAAACATTTCTGAAACCACTGGAGGGTTTTGCCTTACTGCAGGTGTCTGGTAGGAGTCAGAGGCACTGAGTGAAGCCCCTGCTCCACGGGTGTGGCGTGTCTGATCCCACACAGCCGCAGCCTGGCAGGCCCCGTTCAGAGGGCAGTGTGCTGTGGACGGGCTGCGGGGCAGGAGTCGGGACACTTAGACACCAGGCAGACATTTTTCTACTGTTAAGGCCCAAATGGGGCATTCATTCCTACGAAACAGACTCCACTTGAACAAGTATCTCCTAATCTGCCAGCTGAGACTCTGATCCTTAAAAATCAATGCTACTTTGCAGAGCTGACTGCTGCTCTGCTCAGAACTGGTGATCCGCCAACGGCGCCGGTTCCGGAGGAGAGAGACGGGGCTGGCCAAGCTCTGCTGCACGGCTGCTGATGGTGCCTCCTCACGTCCTCCAGGAAAGCAAGCCGCAATCAGACTCCTTACTTCACACAGTTGCTTACAGCTGATGAAAACAGTCACAGAACTTAATACAATGGTGGCTCTTTTTTTTTGTTTGTTTTTTTTTGCCAAAACAAAGGTCTGCTGGTGATGCTTCACAGTGAAGCCTCCATTATCACTGAGCACGTCCTTTGGAAAACATTCTGGAGAGATGAGTCTTTTTCTCATAGGCTCAATTTCAGGATTCTCAAAATTCCATGTTCTGTTGAGGACTTTCCAGGATGCAGCCTACTGGTTTGAGGTTGTCATTGCCTTCAGACTTATTCCGCTCTGGTCAAAGGGTGTGGTTGTCTTTGTTCTTGGTCAGAACCTGCAAGTAGACCTCATGAAGTGTACTGAGGAAGCTGGAATCATTCTGGAAGAGATGGTGAAGGTGAGAATGAGAATGTCACATGGAGCTCATCAGAACCTACTGCCTGGATACCAGTTTAAGAACAGAATTGCACAAAGAATTTGTTCAGCCAATTCCCAGATAATCCCCCCAACTGCAGGCACAGTCAATACTGAAGTTTACCTGGGTATCTCCTGTCAGGAGTCTGTGCTCGGGCAGAGGGAAACGTTACTCCCAGTTAGTTATTAAAGAATCTGTACCTTCCTTTATGAAAGAATAAAAGATAAAGAGTAAGTTGACACTTCCTGTACCTTGATCAGATGAATTAGTGTGTCCTGCAGCTGAGCCCTGCTGAGAATAATGGAAGGCTTCCTTGTGTTTTCTGCTGCTCCGACAGTGAGAGGAGAAGGGGAGCTGGCTTTCCTCTCAAGCTCTATGGACCTTGGAACCGTCTGCTGGAAAACACTTGGGGACAGCAGGACTGAAGATGCTGCCGTGGTTGTTGCAGTAACGAGTGGGGAGCCTGCAACCTGCAAGGGAAATGGTCATTTTACATCTAAGTACAGCAGCCAGGTTCAGAGGAGACACCTGCTAACAGGCAGGAGTAAGAGATGGGAGCAAGGGTAGAGTCAAGAGCGAACTCTTTTGGGTAAGGTAAACATTCAGAAGCACCTGAATATCTTGTTAGTGAAAGGATGCAAGAATGACCTTGAGTCATTCTGAGAAGCCAAGTCCCAGCACCACAGAAAGGGAGTATGAGTAACAATATAGCGAACACTTTAACAACAATACTTTAGCAAATAAGAAAATGTAAGTTTCTTCAGGGAGTGAAGGTGAGGAAATGCCTGGCAGAAGGCCTGAAGATAATGTGAGAAATGATCAGTTGATGACAATGTGAAATATTTTAATTGGGATAGTAGTCATCCAACTGATAACTACAAGGTGACAACACAAAATGTAAAAATCATAAAAATCTGTACTTTGTGTACATGTGTATGAATTTGAAAATAGAGTTAAGGGAAGCAGTTCCTTTTGTAATATTCAGTATTTGAGGGTACTTCAAAAAGTTTTTGTGTGGGGCCTGGTGTGATAGCCCGGTGGCAAAATCCTTGCCTTCTAAGTGCCAGGATCCCATACGGGTGCCAGCTGCTCCGCTTCCCATCCAGCTCCCTGCTTGTGGCATGGGAAAGCAGTTGAGGATGGCCCAAAGCCTTGGGACCCTGCACTTGCGGGGTGGGGAGACCCAGAAGAGGCTCCAGGCATTGTAGCCCCTTAGGGGAGTGAGCCAGCGAACAGAAGACCTCTGTATCTCCTTCTCTCCTGGCAAAACCTACCTTTCCAATAAAAATAAATCTAAAAAAACAGTTTGTGTGTGGGACCTGGCATGATGGCTTAATCACTAAGCCCTCACCTTGCAAGTGCCAAGATTCCATATAGTTGCCCATTTGTGTCCCGGCTCCTCAACTTCCAATCCAGCTCCCTGCTTGTGGCCTGGGAAAACTGTGGAGGATGGTGGAAAGCACTGGGACCCTTCACCCACACAGGAGACCTGGGAAAAGCGCCTGGCTTCAGTTTAGGCCGTTGCAGTCACTTTCACTTGGGGAGTGTCAAGTAAAGGGAAGATCATTTTGTCTCTCCATATATCTGATCTGATCTTTGCAATAAAAACAAATAAATCATAAAAAATGTATTACTTGGGCTGTCTACACCCACAACTGAGCGCCTGAATTCTCAGCTTCCTATTGTGTCTACCCTGGGAAGGGGCCGCTCAAGGATGTGGCTCTCTCCCAGCTCCACAGGAGGCCCAGAGTGAATTCCTGACTCTCAGTTCTGGCCTGGCCCGGTCCTGGCCATTGCAGGAATTTGGGGAATGAGCCAGTAGATGAGAGCTCTCTGCATGTATATTTACCATAGGGAAAAAAAAATAAACTAAAAACCAAAACTCCAAAATGTAAAACACAATTTGTCTTTTAGATGGGAATGTATGCTATGAAAAAAACAAGCTGTACAGACTTTAAAATTGCACCAAAATGAACTAATCCTTGAATCTCTTTTTTCTTGTTTTATATCTGAAAGACAAAATTCCTTAAAAATCAATCTGACCTCCACTTCCTAACAGAATATGTTAAAAACCAGTAACAACGCTCTCAATAACTCTCATATGTGATACAATCAATGGAGATTTTCTCTTTTTCCTATAAATTATGCCTTCATTCAAACAAAACTATTTCCTGATGACAGGTATACAGAGGGCACTCCTACTGGCTGGTTCACTAGATGGTCCCAAAGGCCAAACTTGGGCCAGGAACACAGCCATATGTTAGGGACTTCAGCCAGTCTCCCGTCAGTCACCTGAGCTGTCACTGGCCCCCAGAGCTGCACTGATAGGGAAGCTGGTGCTGGGAGCCACTTCGGGATCTCTCTAGGGACTTTGATGATGCGGGATGCAGTTATCTTAGCTACCAGGCTAACACCTGCTCCCGACCTTGGCACGGTTTTAAACATATAGCTTTTGGGAGCTGAACTACTTAGCTTATTAGCTGGTGTCAAACCAGACTGAGCGCTCAGATTGATCACTATGCAGCAGGAAGAACAAGCTACAGAAAAGACAGGTTAACGAGGCCCATTGGAGATGTCTCTAGTTTAAATTCTGAGGATGAAGGAACTGGAAAGCAGTGATGTCAAGGGTAGTAGACATGTAGCAGAGGCCAGGGAGGACACATGTGTGCAGCACGTGGAGGCTGTTATCAGGGCCATGGTACAGGAGAGGGCCAAGCAGGGTGGTGGCTCTGCCCTGTGACACCCCGGCTCCTCCAGGCTGACACCTTCTTGAGGGGAGAGTTCATCCCTGACTGGACCTGCCCTCTGTGCATGGTCAGGGGAGATACTGTACACAGAAGGCTGCACCAATGAACCCTGCTCTGCTTGGGAAGCAGCAGCCTGACTGAAACCCCAAAAAGTTTTCAGAGAGAAGGGGGCCTTACCGGGATGGCACTGGATAACACCTTCGCCTGGGCAAAGACTTCAGGATCCTGGTTTTGTTGCATAGACTGAAATGTTTTAAAAGAAAAGATGAACAGATATTGGCAAGTGTGAATGAAATGTCCTAATCACTGGTGAAAAATCTTGTTCAGCAGTAACCAATGGTTTAGCTATGAACAAAGCCCTGGATTTCCAAGGGAAAAAGAGGTGGACAGAAACAGTGATCATGCTACCAACGACTTGACAGTACAAGAGCTTCATGACAGCTCTCCCGCCCCGCGGCTGAAGGCGTGCAGGAGTCCCTAAGGAACACGTGGAAACCTGTATCACAGAGCTGGGAGCTGCGCAGGCATATTTTTGCTGCTGAGCCTGCAAAGATAAGAGATCTTGGCAACATGAAACTTGGTGATAAGGCTGTTTAAACTTGGACAGGTGACAAGGAACAGCTGTGACCAGAATCACCCATCCATATGCTCAACTCTTCATTGTTCACTGGACAGAGAGAACTGGTTGTAGAGTGAGGAAGACATGAGAACTCTATGAACCCTGCTCCGTAGGTTGGTTACTGCAGGGAAAAGGAAGCGTGTATCTAGGTAAGTATTCCCTGCCAAGGTAGGCTGAAGCAGGTGCTGTACTCAGGCTGCAGGGGCCAGTGATGAACTTCCGGATTTCCCACATTGGTGCAGGGGCCTAAGGACCTAGGCAATCGCCCACTGCTTTCCTAGGCAAGTAGCAGAGACCTGGGTTAAAAGTGTAGCAGCTATGACCTGACCTGGTGCTTATATGAGATGCTGGCATTTCAAGTGGCAGTTTGCCTGCTAATCTACAATGCCAGTTCCAGTCCCTTTGCTCCAAGTCCCTTAAAGACTTAAGGCTCTGGAAAAACAAAACAAAACAAAACACACACACACACAAAACTACAATCAACACCCTTAACAGTTTTTCTCAAGCTTTTTTTTCAGTTGATAGAGTCTCATTGTGGCTTTTTAAGATCACCAGGTGTCCTCCTCTCACTCTTAGGATTCTTTGAACACATTCTCCCCACTCTAGGGAAGACCTAGCTGCCACATCCCTCTAACAGAGGAAACTTCATACCTTCAGGTCTGGGATGTACTACAGAGGTGCACTTGAGAGTGTGGAGGGAGTTGGGAATGGGAGCTAAAAGTTCAGGATAATTTGGGGATCTGTGGCTATAAATTAAATAATTCCTGGAATTGTCAGGCAAAACCCAGACAGACAGAGGCTGGCACTGTGGTGCAGTGCACTTAGTCACCATTGAGGACTCCAGCATTTCACATCAAAGGGCTGGCTGGTGTCCTGGCTGCTCTGCTTCTGATTCGGCTCCCTGCAAACACGCCTGGGAAGGCAGCAGCAGATGACTCAAATGCTTGTGCCACTGCCCCCTACATGGGAGATCAGCATGGGGTTCCAGTCTCTTGGCTTTGACCTGGCTGTTGAGATCATCTATCATCTGAGAGAACCAATGGACAGAACAATTCTCTATCTCTCCCTCTATTGCTCTGCCTTTCAAACAAATAAATGGAAGCAAACAAAAATTAAGACAAAAACATTTACAATGGATACGCAGGCAACACAAACATGGTTATTCATCTGCTATCAGTGGCATAATTTTAGGAAATGAAACTGAACTGCAATATTACCTATCAATTATTTAGTTGTTCAACGGAGGACTTCTCCCTCCCTTTTCTCCTAGCCCTAATTTCCTTCAAAGGGATAATTCTATTAACTGTATCCTGCCTCACATCAGTTAAAGACCAGGGTCTTCACAGTTCGTTCCACCCAGATACCCACCCTGCCCACCCCAGCCCTTTGGCCAGTACCTGAAGGGGAGCAAGCACCATGTTGCTCAGGGAGGCTGAGGCTGCTGCTCTCGCTGCTGCTGTCTTCGAGGGGGGCTCTATGAAGCTTTCAGGTGTGGCCAGCTGGCCAGCTGCTGAGGACAGGCTGGGCGCCACTGCACCTTTCCCAAGTGGCTGTGTCTGTATTTGGTCATGCTGTGAGGTCAACCTGAGTTTCTGCAGAAGGTCAACGCTTGGGAGGGATGTGCCAGTTGGGTTCGGCACGCTCATTGGGGCCCTGAAAGGACTCTGGCTGGCAATCAGACAGGGGTGGCTCAGCTCGGGGACAGGCTGGTTCAATAGTGGAGACCTCTGTCTGGGTGTGGTTTTCACTGCCTGTATCATAGTGTTGTTCTGAGATAGGCTGGGGGGAATCTGGGCAGCAGGGGTGTCGGCAGGCAGAGTGGGGCTGAGAACGGGGCTCAACGGGATTGTGTAGTTGGGGGTATGCTTTTCACTGGAGTGTGAGATGGAGGCAGGGGTGATGAGCACCTGGGTAGGGACTTCAGGTTGGACTAAGCGGTGGGCAGCAGAATGGACACCCAGGTTTTCTGATGGAAGCCCCCCTCCTGATTGCTCGAAGGAGAACGGTAGGAAGGGGCTGGGTTCTTTCTGGGAGGTCTCTCCTGGCAGCTTCTCCACTTCTTCTGAATCCAGACCCATGACTGCTGGCTGTTCCTTTGGCAAAGAAGTTCCAAATAGCTCTTCCACTGTCAGATGTTTGTGGCCAGATGGAGCCGACTGAAAAACAAATCACACCACTCAGTACAGACATCTCAGGCATACCACTGTAAGCAATTTTTAAAAAATATTTATTTTATTTTTATTGGAAAGTCAGATATACAGAGAGGAGGAAAGACAGAGAGGAAGATCTTCTGTTCACTGATTCACTCTGAAAGTGGCTGCAATGGTTGGAGCTGCACCAATCTGAAGCCAGAACTTCCTTCAGGTCTCCCACACAGGCGCCAGGGTCCCAAGGCTTTGGGTCGTCCTTGACTGCTTTCCCAGGACACAAGCAGGGAGCTGGATGGGAAGTGGAGCTGTTGGGATTAGAACTAGTGCCTATGTGGGATTCCGGCATGGGCAAGGCGAGGATTTTAGCCACTTGGCTACCGTGTCAGTTCCTGTAACCAAAATTCTCTTCCAGCAACTGAAACAGCAGTAAGGAACAGGACAAATTGAAGAGAGATTATAGGTACTTTTGGCTTGTTCCCCACTCAGCTCCTCAAGTTGATGGAAGAAAATTTACATGCGTAATGAAACCCAAATTCTAGGCATCTGAGGACTTCAGAGGCCGACATCATGGGGTAGCAAGCTAAGCTTCCACCTGTAGCACTGGCATCTCATATGGGTGCTGGTTTGAGACCTGGCTGTTCCACTTCCAATTTAACTCCCTGGTAATGGCCTGGGAGAGCAGTGGAGGATGACTCAAATACTTCCGTCCCAGAACCCATACTGGAAACCCAGAAGAAGTTCCTGGCACTGTGGCCACTTATGGAGTGACCCAGTAGAGAGGAAGACCTCTCTCTCCTTGTCTTCAGCTCTGCCTTTTGAATAAATAAATAAATAAATAAATGTTGGGGGTGGAGGGGGTGGGGAGGAGAAAGCTACATGTTAAAAAAGAGCACTTTAAAAAGTTAATGGAAAAAGAAATTAAAAGATGATTTTGGGGCCCGGTCGCGTGGCCTAACAGCTAAAGTCCTCGCCTTGAACGCATCAGGATCCCATATGGGTGCCGGTTCTAATCCTGCAGCTCTACTTCCCATCCAGCTACCTGCTTGTGGCCTGGGAAAGCAGCTGAGGAGGGCCCAAAGACTTGGGACCCTGCACCCGCGTGGGAGACCTGGAAGAAGTTCCTGGATCCTGGCTTTGGATCGGCACAGCACCGGCTGCTATGGTCACTTGGGGAGTGAATCATTGGACGGAAGATCTTCCTCTCTGTTTTTCCTCCTCTCCACATATCTTTAAAAAAAAAAATGATTTTGGTGAAAAAAACCTTTGAAATCTGTATAGTCGCCGCCCCCCCATGCACTGCTATGAACTTCCTGAAGATCCCTAAATCCATGAATTTTTGATTGCTTTTGCACCAACATAAACATCTTCGTTCCATTCTCTGGGGATCTTTGAATGACCTTACTACACAGTGAATGCGGCTGACTGTCTCCTGTCAGTAACATATATACAGTGACTGAATACCAACTGAATGAATTGACCTTCCATTTACTAGCTTTTCTGAAGAGAGATTTATTTACTTTTTACTTGAAGGACAGTTACAAAGAGAGAAGGAGAGATATATTCCTCTGCTGATTCATTCCCCAAATGGCCACACTGGATGGAGCTGGGCCAGCCCAAAGCCAGGAACCAGGAGCTTTTCTGGGCCCCCCAAGTGGGGTCAGGTCTAAGGATTGGGCCATTTTCCACTGCTTTCCCAGACCATTAGCAGGGAGCTGGATCAGAAACGGAGCAGAAGAGACGTGAACTGCCTAACCTCGTATAACATGGCACCAGCCTCCTACTCACTGATCTCTATAATAAAATAGGTACTGCATCTGTGCCTGGGTCCAAATACCAGGTAACACAGTGGAGCAATTAACAGTTGAAAATTAAAAGGGGCCAGTCCTCCTTTCTTCCCCCCAATCACAGGACCCTTAAGAAAAAGCGAAGTATTTGAGACTGAAATTGCTAAATCTCCACACATCTTATTGAACCGGCTTATGACACTATCACACCCTCATGAAACATGCACTACTGCTTTCCACACAAGGCTCCTGCTCCCTCTGACAGCACAGCTGTGGTCACCTGTTTCTCAGGCCCAAATGGCCACAGGTGCCAGTTCCTGTGTTGGTCAGTGGAGTCAGGCAGCCAGAAGGAGCTCAAGTCCTGATGGCGCTTCTGCTTAGGAGACACATGTGAGCACTGAGAAACACAGGCAGCCTAGCTGAGGACATGTTTCCTGAAGCATGCGAGCTCCTTACAGACTGTTGGTACTGAAAAAATCAAGGCACTGAAACATGGCCATCAGGTATAGGCAGTGTGTAAGGCCCTAAAGGACACTGCCACTGAAGCACACGGTGACAGCACCAGCCAGTCACATGTCTATAGGAACACAAATCGATCTTTTCTTATAACAAATGCTTGTTTTCATTCTTTGGTAAGTAATGGCTAAGTTTACTGGAAACCAAGCATGTGCTGTGACTGTGGGGGAAGGTGGCAAGGGCACCCCTAGAGCAGAGCTGCGTTCCCAAAGGAGAGAAGGAGGCATCCAGAAGGGGGCTCAGGGTGAAGGGGGAGGTGAGCTGGCACAGAGAGCAGCAACTATGTGCTGCAAACCCTTCAGTAAGCCAGGGTCAGAGGGTTCACAGGAAGGGGGTGACAAAAAGACCATAACAGCTAGCCAGGATGCAGCGTGTCACACACACTGGGGGACCTGGACTTCAGCCGCAGGGCAGTGAGCACATGCTCAGGAGAGGCGGCATGAAGCTCTGCATTGCAGGGGATGCATTTTGGCAGCCACCTACATTACAGCATGGGGTGAGCTGGAGGAGAATTTGGACTAAGGCCCTAGAGGACTCCAGGTTGAGGGAAGGGAGAGAAAAGCAGAGGTCAGTTCAGTGCACATCTGAAGTCTCTGAGACATCTGGAACTGGAGGGACTGATTTGGAAGCTACTGGAATACAAAGTGGTAGGATATATTAAGAGAGCAAAAGGCATCAGGAGACTGCAGGGAGAAAGCTTCAGCACACACCAAGCATCAAGGGGCAGCAGCCAATACCATGTCTGACTGGCTGTGTAGCCTGTGGAGTTCCAGGTCCCTTGTGGAGCAGAGGGAGCTGGCAGAGGCTGACATACGTGCAGCCTCCCATCCCACAATGTCAGTATTCACATGACACAGGCAGCAAGCTCCTCCTGCAAGCTTGTACATTCTCACTCACCCTCATCCTGCCTTGCATCCTCCTGGACCTACATACACAGACAGCAGCACCACCTACACCTACAGATCCACCCAACAGGGCTCTCTCCCAGAGTCCTTCTAGAGGGCTGACGTTAGTTTGAGCAGAGTGGGAGCCCCTGCCAGCAGGCCTTCAGGGTAAGGGGTCGGGGTGAGGACCTCCTCTGTTAAGGAGGGATCATGTCAAACAACAGGGAAAGAGAAAGGAGGCTGGTTGTGAAGCTGCAGGGCACTCCTTCCAGCAGGGGCAACAGTAAGCCAGGGCCACGTACACTTGTGCTCTGCTTGCTGAGGGGTGCCAGGGACAGGTCAGAGAAGGCAGTGAATAAAAAGGCTGGTAGAGAAGCAGAGTCTCCTCCAGCTGCAAAATGTTCCACCAAGCCACTTTTACTTCACAAAACATTCAACAGAGGGAACTCTACTAAAATTCTAACATAGTGTTTGGAAGTGCAATGACAAGATGCCTTTGTGTAAGTGACAAAATTCTCAAATGGAGAATTCAGCCCCTTAATAATGCTGTGGAGTAAGAGTATAGGATTATCCTGTCACAACACTCCCTGGTTTTTGAGTATTTTTTCAGATTCAGAATCTTACTTCCAATATAAGATAGCACCAACATCTAATTATAAACTGTGGAAGGAAGGTATAAAAAATTCCTTCATATTTTTACCTTTGAAAAAAGTCACCCACCTCCCCCACCCAAAAAAAAGGAAATGCACAGCTTAGGGCCTGAAATCATATAACCTAGATTCAATTCTCAGCTTTCAATTGGGAAAGTTACATAATCTTTCTAGCTAGTTCCTCAACTGAAAATTGGGACAACTGCAGTTATCTGACAGAGTGGCTCTGAAAATCAAATTCTTAATATAATGTTTGGTGTCTAATACACATTCAATAACATGAAACTGGGTTATTATCATCATGTAAACACCATATGGTCTTTTAAAAAAGATTTATTTATTTTTATTGGAGATGCAGATTACATTTACAAAGAGGAGAGTCAAACTTAAGATCATCCATCCGCTGGTTCATTCACCATGCAGCGGCAACAGCCAAAGCCGACTGAACTGAAACCAGGAGCTAGGAGCTGCTTCCAGGTCTCCCATGTGGATCCAAGCGTTGGACCATCCTCAGTGCTTTCCCAGGCCACAGGCAGTGAGCTGGATGGGAAGTGGGCCAGCCAGGATACAAACTGGCACCCATATGGGATCCCAGTGCATGTAAGGCAAGGATTTTAGCCAGCCACAAGGGTACCATGCTAGGCCCCATGTTGGGATATTATAAAGACACCATTTTATTCATTCTTATGGAATATCCTATCTCCATAATGCAAAACAGCACCATCAAACGCTGGCACACCGAGGCTGTGTTAACAGAATCAGCCTAATGCAGGTTCATTAAGGCCCTAGCTATTTCAAACTTGTGGGGAATACTGCAAATCCACTCACAGAAGAGGCAATGAGTTCTCCCTTGGGACAGACTCTTGTCTGGGCCACATAATGGCCATCAGGTACACAGGTTTCATTTCCTATGCTGGACAGTGCTCTACTCACTTTGGATCTCTGGCATAAACGTCTGCTGACAGCACACAAATAATTCTTGATTTACCCATTAAAAAAAAAAAGCTGTATAAAATATACATAATACATTTACCATTTTAACTGTATTTAGCGTAAAATTCAGGGCTTGCACAATTGGCAAATCCTCCCATTCAAGTACTAGGATCTCACATGGGCACTGGTTCATGTGTTAGCAGCTCCACTTCCCTTCCAGCTCCCTGCTTGTGGTCTGGGAAAATAGCCAAGGATGGTCCAAAGCTTTGGACCCTGTGCCTGCGTGAGAAAGCTGGAAGAAGCTCCAACCACTGTGGCTACTTGGGGAGTGAAGCAGCAGATGGAAGATTTTTCTTTCTGAAAATCTGCATTTCAAAACAACTTAAAAAAAAACCACACTAAAATTCAGTGGCATTCAGTATGTATGTAACTTTAACTCTCACTATTATCTCTACAATTTTTTGAATTCATCCCTGTTAAAGAGTAACAGTACACTGTCCCCCATTAATCCCTGACAATTTCTCTATGTTGTTTCTATCAATTTCTTGACTTACCTATTCAAGATACTAGCCATCAGTCAATCACATAACCTGGTTTATTTCATTTGGCTTAATGTTTTCAAGGTTTAATCAACTAGGCTGTACCATGTGTGAGAATTTCCTTCTTTTATGACTGAATAATGTTCCATTACATATATATGGCATCTTGTTTACTTATCTCTTGATAGGCACCTGAATTGATTTTAGTTTTGTGGCTAGTGCAGTACTGCTATGAATATTGGTCTAAAAGCATTGTTTGAGTGTCTGTCTTCAATTCTTAAGTTCATGTAAAAATGGAAAATAAAGTAATTTGATGCAAAAGCATTCTGAAATTCAGTTTTTTTTTTCCCATTTTCCACAAGCTTTTATCTAAAAGCATAGAGACAGAGACAGCAACACAACCACTGCCAGTTCACTTCCCTCCCCAGAATCTTCCAACGGTGGGGGCTGGCCTGGGTCCAAAGCCAGAAGCCAAACATGCGAGCCGGTTTCCTCTGTAGGCGGCAGAACTTGGCCACTTATGCCATCACTGCTGCCTCTCAGGGTATACGTCAGCAGGAAGCTGGGACCTGAACACGGATACTCCCCTATGGGATGAGGGCATCCCAACTATGCTAGACCAAATGCCAACTTTCTAAAGACTCCTTTTACACCTAGGAGTGAACATATGCTTACAAACATATGGTAAGTTAAGCCTTTGCGTAACAGTTTCACAGTTTTTTTTTTTTTTGGTGGGAGAGAAGGCACTATGATATAGAACTGTGGAGTAGAGGCACTTTAACCACTAGCTAACTGCCCACCCCATGTTTGACTTTTTGTGAAACCACTAAAATTGCTTTTCCTGACAGTGGCCACATCATCTTACATTATAACCTACAGTCCAAGATGGTTTTGATGTTTCCAACATTCTCAACTTTGTTTTGCTGTTATTATACATGTGAGGTGTCTCTTTGTGGTGTGGACTTGCCTTTCCTTAATGAGTAATGTTGTTGAATGTTGCACGTTTATTGGCTATTTGCACATACTATTTAGAGAGGTATCTATCCAGGTCTTTTGCTCATTGTTAAATTGGGTTAATTCCTTTTTAATGTGTATTATTATTAGAACAAAATGGGTCAACATCACATCACAAATAAGTACTGGAAAACACTAGGGGCAAGGGTCAGTGTCATGGCACAGTGGATTAAACTAACACTGCACCACCAGCATCCCCTATCTGAGCGAAGGGAAAAGACACGGCTTGAGTAAGTAGGAGGTGCCTACAGGAGCAAAAGCATTGCCTCCCACCCAACTCCTGCATTTATCCCAGGAGTCTGAGTGAGCAGAACAAGCCCACCCTCCTCAGCTAACCATGCTTTCTGGTCTCTCCTTTAGAAACCTCTTTACACTTTTCTTCCATGAGGAAAAACTGGTCACATGCTGTAGCAGCTGAGCTTACGCACTCACAGATCTATCTCCCAACCCCCATACAGAAGGTGAACTTTTAATTCTTTCTTGATGTCTAAACGTGCTTGTAGTTTGGGTTTCTGGGTTCTGAGGATCTCACTGCCCATTCAGATCTAGCGCCAGTCAGGTAATTTCTCTGGGGAACGGACCATGCATGGTGCACAGAAAATTCTCCTCCAAGGTATCAGCTCTTACCCAGTTCCTCCCTCCTTTTGTCTCCTGGGATCCGTTTGCCCATGTCAGATTGACACACTATGAGGCAAGCATCACTGATTACAGGAAGCAAAACAAAAAGAAAAAAACAAGCTAGAGACAGTTCCAAAGGGATTCAGTAAGTGTGTTAAGAAACTGAAGTAGAATTTATTACTGAACAAGGCCTAGTGGCCTTATTTGTTGTTTGGCACTAGATGGCAGTCTCACTAAGCAAATGCACCATCTACAGATAGGCACCAATCACAGATTGCTACTGATTATGGCCAATCATGTGGCTTCTGACAATATTCAAATTTCAACACCTTACAGCATTTTGCTACTTCGGTCTTTAAAAATCGGCATTTATGGCCCGGCGCGGTGGCGCAAGTGGTTAAAGGTCCTCGCCTTGCACGCCCGGGATCCCATATGGGTGCAGGTTCTAATCCCGGCAGCCCCACTTCCCTTCCAGCTCCCTGCCTGTGGCCTGGGAAAGCAGTCGAGGACAGCCCAAAGCTTTGGGAAACTGCACCCGCGTGGGAGACCCGGAAGAGGCTCCTGGCTTCGGATCGGCATAGTATCGGCCCGTTGCGCTCACTTGGGGAGTGAATCATCGGACGGAAGACCTTCCTCTCTGTCTCTCCTCTCTGTATATCCGCCTTTCCAATGAAAAAATAATAAAAATAAATCTTTAAAAAAAAAAAAAAGTAAGAAAAATCGGCATTTAAAAAGGATGTGAAAAAAGAAATACTGACAATACTCTGTGGCTTAGGGACGCACCTCCCAGAGTGCCGGCTTGGAGTCTGCATCTGTGGGTCCATCACATCACTGAGTTTGCTGCTCAAAGGCAGAGCAGCTGTGGCTAGCCACACTCATCTTTCACCTTTCAAAGACAGTGCTTTAACATTTCCAATGTGCTTTTGAGTTACTTATTTTTATTGGAAGGGCAGAACTACAGAGAAAAAGAGAGAGAGAGGAAGATCCTCCATCTGCTGGTTCACTCCCTAAGTAGCAACAGCCAGAGCTGAGCCTAACCAAAGCCAGGAGCTTCTTCCGGGGTCTCTGATGTGGGTGCAGGGTCCCAAGGCTTTGGGCCATTCTCGACTGCTTTCCCAGGCCACAGGCAGAAAGCTGAAAGGGAAGTGGAACAGCCAGTACACAAACTGGTGCCCGTTTGGGATCTCAGCATATGCAAAGCGAGGATTTAGCCACTGAGCCACTGCCTGGGCCTGTGTTTTTTTCTCTTGGTCCATTTTTACCAGTGGGTCTCACTGAGTTAGACAGTGCAAGAATTTGCAACACCATGTTTACAAAAAGGAAGGGGAAGTGACTCATGATTCAGAACAGGTCATCAAAGCGGCCATGAACATTCCTGCCTGATAATCTGAACAGAATAAATTAATGAATTTTGTACACTTCTCTCTTTATTTACTTATTTGAAAGGCAGAGTGACAGGGAGAGGGAAAGACAGAGATATTTCACTTCCACCTGCTGGTTCACTCCGTGCATGAGCAAGGCTGAAGCCAGGAACTCCACCTAGGTCCCTTATTTGGGTCTCCCATATATAGGTGGCAGGGGCTCAAGGATTTGTACTATCAGTGCTGCCTCCTGAGGTGTGCACTAGCATGAAGATGGACTGGACATGGACTACCCAAGACTCAATCAGGCACACTGATAAGGAATGTGAGGGTCCTGACTGGCTTGACGGCTCAGTGGCTAAATCCTCACCTTGCATGTGCCAGGATCCCATATGGCTGCCAGTTCATGTCCTGGCTGCTCCACTTTTCATTCAGCTCCCTGCTTGAGACCTGGGAAAACAGTAGAGATGACTCAAAGCCTTGGGCCCCTGCACCTGTGTGGGAGACCTGGAGGAGGCTTTTCACTCCTGGTTTGGGATCAGCTCAGCTCTGGCTGTTGCATTTACTTGGGGGGTGAGCCGGTGGATGGAAGATCTTTCTGTCTCTTCTCTCTGTAGCTCTGCCTTTCAATTAAAAAAAAGTGGTGGTTTCAAGTGAAAACTATCTGCTGTGCAAAACGCAAAACACTCACCCTGCCAAAGAACACCATGACCTGACTTAGGTTTTATCAGAATTCCTCTGGCTGTTGGATTAACAGGTAAAGGAAGTGGCCTTCTGCAAGGGCAAAAGCTGAGAGACCATGCAGGAGGCTACTGTAAAATACAGATTGACAGTGATGTGGACCAGGAGGAATGGCCTGGGTAGTGACATCACAGTGTTGCACATGAGGTCTTTGACGGTAAATGACAAACACTGCAACAAAACCTTTAAAACAGTTTGCTGGTTACTTGGGACACAGCTGGGGTTGCTGCTGTACAAACCTTATCTTGTGACCCGGAGAGTGTCTCTTCCAGAGTCTCGGTGCTTCCCAGATTGGAGAGTTGAGGGCCTGGCGGCAATCCAGGGCTGGAGAAGTTGGAGTCACCCATCTGGTTCTTTAGGAATGTAAGATGAAAAGTACACCATGTGAAAAAAGTTTGCCATCTACTATTTGGTTTATAAGACAGCATCTAAGGTTATATGAAGAGTTACTTAAAAAAAAAAACTAAGAAATTCTCAAAATGTTTGCTTTGGACTGTCATGCAAGTAACTTACAGAATTTCTAGAAAGCTAGACACCTACTTTTAAACAACACTTTTAGTTACAACTGCTATTTTTATCACTGTTTTAAGGAGAAGCTAATGATATTATTTTATTAGATATTCTTATTTTATTTAAGTTAACATATGGTGAAGCTAACTGTTGTGGGGGTGTATAGCTCTCTTTGTGTGCCCACCACCACGATCAGTATACCACAATTCTATCAACCCAAAAGACTCCCTTGTGCTATCCCCGTGGTCACGTCCTTCCTCTCCTGCTGACAACCAGTGATCTGAACTGTCACTGTAGATCTGTTTTCAAAATATGTCATATCAATGACATTTTAAGTGGAAAGCTGACTTCTTCCATTTAGTATAATGCCCCCGAGATTCACCCATGCTATAACCTGACAATAACTCACTCCTTTTTAACTGCTGAGTAGCCTTCTACTATGTATCAGAGTCTCTTTATTCACCTAAAGAAGGACCTTTATAGGGCCAATGCAATGGCTCAACTGGCTAATGCTCTGCTTTCAAGCACAGGCATCCTCATATGGCGCTGGTCTGTGTCCCAGCTGTGCCACTTCCCATCCAGCTCTCTGCTAGTGGCCTGGGAAAGCAACCGAGAAGGTCTAAGTCACTGGGACCCTGCACCCATGTGGGGGACCTGGAGGAGGCTTCTGGCTCTTGGTTTTGAATCAGTTCAGTTTCAGCTGTTGCGATCATTTGGGGCGTGAGCCAGCAGATGGAAGATTTCTGTCTCTCCTCTCTATAAATCTGTCTTTTCAATAAAATAAATCTTGAAAGAAAGAAAAAAATGACACTTCTGTTTCAATTTTTTGGTGATGATGAATACATGGATGCAGAGGCTTAAGAATTTGGGCCATCCTCTACTGATTCCCAAGTGCATTAGCAGGTAACTGGATTAGAGGTGGAATAGCTGGGACTTGAATAAGTGTCCATATGGGATGCTGGCACTACACATTGTGGCATTACCTACTATACCACAATGTCAGCCTCTATCAACTCCATTTCAAGCAATTCATTTTGGGAAAAAAAATAATGTTACACATGAAGGTTCAGCTTCAAAGAATTCTCAATAAAACGGAAAGAATTAGAGAAATATCTAGGCTATCATTTACATAAAAAACAGACAGAAAAAATACGCAGTCATCAACATTACAGCTTCACAAATTTGACTGAATTAGCTGGAGAGACAGAGATTTGCCCTCAACCCCAGATTCACTCCTTCCAGGCTCACAATGGCTGGGGCTGAGCAAGGCTGCTACTGACAGCTGGGAACTCAATCCAGGTCGTCGTCATGGTGGCAGGGCTCAAGAACCTAAGCCATCTCCTGTTGTCTCCCAGTATCTGTATTAGCAGGAAGCTGGAATTGGGAGCAGATTGGGATACTCTAATTTGGAATGCAAATGGCTCCCAAGTAATGTCTTTATTATTTTTTTTAAGACTAATCATTATTTTTTAATTGGAATGGCAGATACACACAGAGAGGAGAGACATCTTTCTTTCTCTTTGTAAATCTTTCAAATAAAAACAATTATTCAAAACAAAAACAAACACAAACACAAACACAAAAACACCTTACTTCCTTCTTTGCTTTTGTGGCAATTTGCTTCTTAGTCTGAGAGGGAAGCCAGGTACTACCTGGAGTAACTGTCCAAGTGCCTGCAGCTGTGACACCAGATGTAACCTGGAGCCATCTGCAGCTCAGCATGATGGTGAAGGGCACTGGACATGGAAAGGCCTCTAAAACAGGAACAAAGAGGGCAGGGATTTGGCCTAGCAGTTAAGACAGCTGTATTCCACATGTGAGCATCTAGGTTCAGTGCCTGGCTACAGTTTGAATGCAACCTCCTTGCTAATGTCAGCCCAGGGAGACTGAGTGACACTCATGCCCTGGGTCCCTGCCGCCCCTGTGGATTGAGTTCCTGGATCCACAGCTTCCATCCTGTGCATCTGTGGTTATTGTGGGCACTCTCTCTCTCAAATAAATAAGGAAAAAAAAACCCCGAAAACCAAGCAAAACCAAACAAAAAACCCACAACAAACTAGAATGAGTTAACTATGCGGATAATTCAAATTTAACCAAGATTTATGAGAGATTTTGAGACACAAGTTAACCTTTAAATTTAGAAAATAATTCTTGAAATTTATGCTCATTCTGTTAAGAATTAATAAAATCTTTTCCCCACAGGGTTTGGTATTGTGGTGCAGCAGCCTAAGCTGCCACTTGTAACAGCTGATCCAGCTTTGCTTACGCAAATGAGAAGGCAGAAAAATGATGGCTCAAGTACTTGGGTCCCTGTCACCCACACAGGAGACCCAGGTAGAGTTGCAGGCCCCTTTCAAAGTTCCCGAATTTCAGATACTTGTATTGTTAAAAAGACAGTTACGTGAACCTTACCCCTAGTAGCTGAACAGATCTGGGAACAGTGTTGTGATTTTCCTTATTGTGGGAACCTCTCAGTTGTGAGTACTGCAAATCCCCAAGACAATGCAGGGGGATTTAGGTAACAGCGTTTCCTGAACTACCCTGACAAATACGAACATTCTTAAAGGCACACCTACTAATAACCCAGAAGCTAGTGTTACAGCAGGATGTTTTTGGGAAGCGTTCTTTTCTCACACTTTCTCTACCCCCCAGTGTGGAGCTGAGGATGAAACTGAAATGAAACGACTTAACCTAGTGTCAAATGAAGAATAATGTGATAAGTACAATTCTGCTGGAAAAAAAAACAAAACAAAATAACAGCAACAAAACAAACCAAAAATCCAGTATGGTAGCAGAAACCCCCTACCCCGTTAATGTTCTGGGAAAGCAGTGAAAGATGGCCCAGCTGACATTCACATAGGACATCCAGATGGAGCTCCAGGTTCCAGGCTTCAGGCTGGCCTGGCCCTGGCTGTTTCAGCCATCTGGGGAGTGAACCAGCAGATCAAAGATATCTCTTTCCCTATAACTCTTACTTTCAAATAAAACACCAAAATGCACAAGAGTCAGGAAACCAGCCTCCTGGTTGGGTAAAATTCCAAACAATGCATATAATACAGGTTGTGTACAGTTCTAATTACAAATCTTACATAAATGTACCTTTACTAAGGGGTACAAACTGTCAGGATACTTTTCAAGACCTACAGGAATATCCTAAGAGAGACTAAAGAGGAGCCACAAAGCCTCTCCAGAACTAACTGCTGGGCCAGTAACACATGTGTGTGTGTATATATACATACACACACATATATATATAGATTTATATATATATAAATCTTCCACAGACAGAGAAATCTTCCATCTGTTGGTTCACTCTCCAAATGCTGTGACAGCCAGAACTGGGTCAGTCCAAAACCAGGATCCAGAAGCTTCTTCTGGGTCTCCCATTTGTGTGCAAGAGCCCAGGGTCATGGGCCATTCTCCACTGTTTTCTCAACCCATTAGTAGGGAGCTGAATGGGAAGTGGAGCAGCTGAGACTAGAACTGGTGCCTGTATGGGATGTTAGCACTGCAGACAAAGGACTGGTTTGAAACAGCTCCATGCCAGGCCACTTGATTTCTGATCCAGCTTCTTATTTTGTGCCTGGGAAAGTGGCAGAAGGCTCCCGCACCCATGTGGGAGACCTGTACTGAGTTCCAGGTTTCTGGCTTCAGCATGGCCCAGACCTGGCTGTTGTGGTCATTCCGGGAAATAAACTAGAGGATGGAAAAATCTGTCTTTCCCTCTCCTTAGGTCTTCCCCAATAACTAAGTGTTAGAGAGGGAGGGAAGGAGGGAGGGAGGGGGAGAGAGAGAGAGAGAGAGAAAGGGAGGGAGAGAACTGCTATAGGTTAATTTCTACATTCCACATCAATTTTATGGTAGTAGAAGAACATTCTAAATTTTCCTGCCAAAAAAATACTCTGAGGTAAGCAAACCTTCTTCCTTACCTTTTAGGCTTAAAAAAATATTTTTTTGAACGAATTGTTTCTGCCGGTTGGAAGCAGCTTCCACAGCCCTTCTCCCTGTTCCGCCCTTTCCCAGTCAGAGTCTCACCCTCTCATACTCGTCCTTGGCTCTGCTCAGCATCTCCAGGATGTCGATGGGTCTGTGGTCACTGCAGCCATTGGCCTGGCTGGGACTTTGTTTATCCCGAGCAGCTTGTTGGGATCGCCGAGTCTCCTCTTCTACCACACTAGAGGAGGAGAGCTAGATTTCAGAAAAGCCCTATAGGTGCAATCTGACTTATGGTATCTCTTTTCCAAGGATTTGCTAATGGGGTCACAGGATGCCTATGTTCTTGCAACGTATCAACACAGACCTTTGGTGACCTCATTCCCAGAACATTATGATTCACTATTATTATGTCTTGTGCAAAACCAGTCAATCTAACTGGTAAAACACATTTAAAACTGGACAATGTCAAGGCCTCGGAATGGCAGCACTGTGGAATAACCCACAGCAGAAAGTCTGTACTGACCTTGGGGTAGCAAGGAGAGTCACCTCTAGAGATTGAGGTCTGAGTGAATCTTTGAAAGCTGATAACAGCATAATCACAGAAAAGGTTTCCATTTATCTTCTGTTCTAGCACGGCAATTAAAAAGTTTCTAAAAATTTTTTTTTTCTTTAAGGTTTGTTTAGGTTTCAGTCCCAACAGTAATGAACGGGCCTATCTGCCATGGGATTTTACAGGTACAGCTAAGTTTGGTAACTTAACCAACTGAGAAATTTCTGGACAATGGTGATAACAGGAAACAAAATCATTAGTAGTGAAGGGTTTATTTTCATGGAAGAATAACAGGAGGAGTTAGTTCCTGTTAGTTCATGGCTTTACAGCTGCCAGTTCAATAACTTGCACTTGTAGATTTCCCAAATTTTATCCGATCAGAGAATCTTCCTAAGGTAGAATTCCTGTTTGGGAAATGATGGTTTACAGTAATGTGTAGTTCCTTTATTTATATTGTCATAGCTCGTATTAAGATGGTCACATCTTATTAATATTAATAAAAAGATGTTTATTTAAAATAAACACAGAAGCAGGCTTCATGGTAGACTGAAAGAAAACTAGCCAAAAATCCACTTTCATAAAGGACTCTGTCACACAGCCATTTCCACCTATCTCTAGCCATACTGGTACTCAACTTTATCTAACCAAGGTGGGATTTGTGATTCTGGTTCAAAAGGAGAACACTGCTAATAATGACCACTGCTCACTTGGGAAACAGCTTAACTTAGAATGCTTACCTCCCCTACTTAGAGAAGCTGGAAGGAGTGGCAGGGCACTAACAGAAACGAGGCCTGAATGAGGCTGCCTCTAACCCAAAGTTTAAGAATAGCATCTCTGACTCTCTTTCTTCCTCTGAAATATCAGATGAAGCCCCCATGACTGTGAGGTCACGAATAAAGTGCACTCATGTGAGTTGTCCCCATTTTCTATAATCCACGTGGGTAAAAAGCCCAACACATTTTAAATCATTAAAACCAGTTTTTGACAGACTGAATTTCCTCTTTGTGACAGTCAGCATCTCTAATTTCCTGAGTTTTCAGCTTTGCCATGCACCACGCAGAATAAAATCTGGATAAATTTAGATAGAGCACAGGTCTAGAAGCTCACGTTCCTATATAGCTTCCCAACTTTTATAAATATCTTTTGGAATAAATCACTTTTTTTTTTAAACTTGGAAAATTTTCATTACAGAATGGCTGTCAAAAAGGTGATTGGAAGAACTCTGATAGAACAGGCACTGACAGACACATTCAGCTAGATGAACAGTATGCCAAAAGGACTTTTACCAGTATTTTTGGTGAGTAGAAGTGATTTTTTTGATTTACATAGCATCAGAGGCACATGTAAGGCAGATTTAGAGCAAAGAAAGATGGCTTTGTATCTCTGGTGACCAAAAGCCATCTACCACAGAGTCCATGGTAACACAAGGCCTTCTCCTCGGCCACTAGCAGGACAGACATTCAAAATCTCACCATCCATACCTCCACTGCACATTCTCTAGTCATTCTCCACACCTTCTCTGCTGCTTAAACAAACACTGAGGATTTAAGCAACGTTCCTCTTTTCTAAGAACCAAGAATGTTGTCTTACATCTCTGGCTTCCTGTTTCCACTTCCTCATCCTATTTGTAGTCCATCCTGCACCTTCAGCCAGGCCTTCAGTTTTCAGTTTCACTTATCACCTAGCATGCAGGGTACCACTCGGCCTGATGGGAATAATGGTAAACAGTGCCCTCTCGATAGGTGTTAACACTAAACCAGGCAGATGCTCTCACTCAAGCATCCTCACTCACAGAAGAAGTAGCTATACACGAACACATTCCAAAGTTTAGATGTTTAAGAAAAAAATTATTTTGCATTTCTGGGTATCTATGAATCAATAAATCTTAATTTTCTGAAGTAGCCACAGTAACCTGCTTGTGCCATCACTTTCAAAACAAAACAAAACAAAAAAGAGAGAAATAGTTTTGTTGAAAAAGTTTTATAATTTTTAGAGAAAAGATGTTCTAAAAATAAAGTAAGGCTCTAGGGAGCTAACACTTTTTCAAATATGACTGACATCGTTCCCTGTATGCTCACAGGGACCAATGTCCTCAGGGTGAACCCAGTAATAAACACGGGCTGCTGTGTGAGCTCCGCGCCAGGCAGACGATGGGCAGGAAGCTGACAGAGAAACATCCAAGAAGGACATGTTCGTTGTCCTGGATTATCACCACACTGTAGCTATGCCTGCTTTCTTTAAACACGCATAGTACCTGGAACTGAGGTTTGGGAGTTAATTACTCACTTACATCTTTGTAAGAATTAATATAAAATTAGAATGTTGCAACTGCAGAGGAAGCAGAAGCCAGCAGCAATGTTGCCCACCCTGCCCAGAGTGCTGTACCCCACAGTATCCTGGGCTCCCAGGGTACAGACTAGCCATTCAGTAATGTGGACACAAAGGGTGGTTTCTTCAACAAGCTAGTCTGAGAAAGCACCATGAGCTACTACCTGCAATGCTAACTCAATGAAAACTATTTTCCAAATTTCAAGATTCTGAACGAAGAATTCTGGAACACAATTCATTAGTGGAGTGGATGGAGCTGGTTAAAGTACGTGTCAAAAATGAGTACTGTTAAAGAAATTAGACATGGCCAGAAGTGGGAGTTCTGTCAGGCTATCTAATACAGACCTGCGTTACAATGAGATTTGCAGAGCTTAAACCAAAGCCATTGCAAATGGTAGTAACGTCTATGTGTGCATGTGTGCCAATGATACCCTCTGCAGCCAGGCAGCTGGGCAGCCTTAAACTACACGTTCAACAGAAAGTTCCCAGTTAAATGATGACTTGTCTGGAGGACTAGCTGCAACACAGCCCTCATAAATACTACAGAAGAAAATGTTAATGCCCCAGAAAAACACTAATTACATGAAAAGCAGGACATAAAATATTATCCAGTTTGTGGAAAAAACCATCACAAACGTCAGCCTAATGTACAGACAATATAGGGAAAGACTGGAAAGAAAGAGAAACTAAAATGCTAACACTGTGGGCAGTAGGATTATAGGTAGTTTTAGGTTTAAGCTTTTCTGTCTTTTTCAAATTGCTGGCATTAAAAAGGAACTTGAGGAAAATACATGAGTAGCATATTTGAATAACAAGAGAAGTGGGAAGGAGGGCCATTTGCCATCTCCTGGATACCCTCAGTTCAGTCTACAGAGTCAGAGAAATACTTACTCAGCCATGAGTTTTGCTATGCGGTGACAGTCATTCTTGTCATAAAACCAGATACTGTATATTGACACTTGAAAAACAAAGAAAAAAAAAGGTGAGAGAAAATGAGGATTCAACATTTGGGTATACATAATTAATATATAAATACTCTCAGCATGAAATGTTGCAGAATTTACCACCAGACTCACAAATAAAAACTTCCCCCTCAAAACACTGTTTAACAAAATCAGGATTCAGATGAAAACTGTAAGAAATACTTGGTTTTAGATGTTAATACAAGATTTCACAAAACCTTAATTAAGTTAAAGACGTATCATTATATATATACTACCAAGAAAGAAAAAAGGGGTTTGTACTGTGACACAGCAGGTCAGGCTCAACCTGTGATGTTGGCACTCCATATTCCAGTGTTTTGGGTCTTTGGTGCTCTGCCTCTGATGCAGCTCCCTGCAAACGTCCTGGGAAAGCAGGGGAAGATGGCTTAAGTTCTTGGGATGCCCTAGTTGTTGCTGCCATTTGGGGTGTGAACTAGCCAATGGAAGATCTTTTCTCTCTGTCTCTCCTTCTTCCTGTAAATCTTTCAACTATTAACGTTTTTGGTTTATTAAAGATTCGATGGCAAACCACAACTTACAAGTTCCTCTCTTAACAGAAATCAATTTGACTGAATTTTTCTGTTGTTATTGTGGACTGAATTAAAATATTCCTGAGGGTTGGTAGCTTGTCGTGGTGATTTAGACACTAGTTGGGATGTCTCATTCCATATCGGAACGCCTTCGTTCAAGCTGTGGCACCACTCTCAATTTAGCTTCAGGTTAACACAGATCCTGATAATCAACAGCACTGGCTCAAGTACTGAGTTTCTGCCATCAACATGGGAGACGTGGATTGAGCTTCCAGCTCAGGAGTTCTCAATTTCTCTCCCTTTTAAATAAAAATAAAAATAAAATAAAATAAAAACTTTTAAATTTTGATCTAATTTTTATCTAATTTTGGCTTCTAATGAGTGGAAATCATAGTTTTTTTCCCATTCTGTTTACCAAAGGGTTTCTCCGGCAGCGAAACCTCCAATCAACTGAAATCACCTTTAACCCTTGCGCCCCATGTCTGGCCAAGCATTCTGTAGTACATTAAGTCAGGCCCAGTTGATCTGCCTTTGAACATTCAGCCTGCTCTTAACAGTTTCCCTGTTTGGGATCCATTTTTATAGTGCCTCTTTGTTCACAGAATTTCAAAGTACTCGCAGTGCTTCAAACAGAATAAAACCCAATGAAAAGTAAGAATTTTTACCATGTTCTACTTAATCTAACACAACAAATTACCTTAGCTTTGATATCTCTGTGGAAGGAACACAGAAGCAGCCTTGTTACAGAGAAGATAATTAGGAGGCATTATCTACTGCAGGGTCCTGCTTAGGCTCTTAGTAGTTGAGGCCTGCACCAACATGGAGTCCATCACATCACTGCTTCAGAACGATTCCATATATGGCAATCACACGCAAGCACCTTTCTTTAAATATGCCTCTTCCAAACTTGTCCAAGGAAAACCCAACTATCAGAGTTCAAATCCAAAAGGTTTGTTTTCTCCTAATAAACTATACAGGAAATACGTGGCCACACAATTTTATAGTAAGGAGAACAAGTTCGTGATATGTAGTACACCAGGCTCATGGAAGAACAAAGTTTTCTCCTTAGCCCAGGCGATTAAATGTTTTCTCTGGGGATTCTAAATCAAACTCTTAGGAAAGAATTCATGTTGACAATCAAAGTAAGTCTAGCACAGCTGTCAATTCATTAGAACAAACCCTCAGTCATGTCTCTTCCTCCTCCTTTGTAGAAATACGTCATTTACAAGCAAGTTGCATACCTTCTACTTTTGTGCATTATCAAATAAACTGCCAAAAAAGAGCCAAGCACTTTCAAAGGCATGTTTGCTGAAGAAATAAAGATAAGGGAGCCATAATGATAGCTTAATGGGTAAAGGCTGGGAGTTACACTCGTTTCTGCCAGAAGCAGACCTGGAGAGGTTCAGACACGCATCCAAAAATCAGCTCTGCCTGCCAACATATCAGATGCTCAATGCATGCAGCTGGCAAGAGGGCCCAGGGCGCTGCCACTAAGAATGTCACTGTCACTCATGAGGAAAGGCAGACAAGTTCCCTAGATAGCCAAAACTGTGGACAACCTCGTCTCCAACTTAGAGCTGAATATTCTTCCCTCAAGAGAGAAACTCTAAGACCAGCATAAGTTGCTAGCAATTCACTTGCTGAAACATCCTGAAATAACTGTTCCTGATGATACCATGGAGGGTTTAAGCTGTTGGCAACACAGTACTATGCTGCTGCAAGAAACAACCTTGGAACTTAGTTTAATAAAAGGTTCTCTCAAAATGAACGCAGACCCATCACACGTGGCAACTGCTGACAAGTGTCCTCATTAAGTCATGCTGTGTGGATAAGCCCCTGGAAAGTGTGACAACCCTTCTGTGAACTGTGTCTCGATGCAGGTCGGAAGGCCCTTTTCTTATGAAAATATAAAAATAAACAAAACCCCAAAACAAAACAAAAAAACCGCTAATGACATAAATGAAGGGCATTTGGATTCCTTTAATGTTGAGAAATTTTAAAAAGCTAGAAGGCAGAGTTTTCTAGTTACCTGAAGAGCCGTATTAGAGAAATCAGCAACCTACTGTGATCTGATGCTAAACTTCTTCCACTTCCCTTGGTAAGTGGTAAGGGCCACATACAACATTCAGAGATCTTGGAGAATGTGTAAAATACCTTGAGCTCTCTAGAGATGCTGTGAAAAGTTAGAAAAACAGAGCTGGGAATCATTCTCCCACATATGCTATCGTTTTGACTCATTTATTATTTAGATCTGACCTACTTTCTGAAAGGACTGGAGGAGGCTGCAGATTTTCTAAGTAAGGGGCTGAGCAGAAACAGTTTGATGAAAAAAAATTATTAGGGAGAGCTGGTAATATACAATTTCTAGATTAGTGACAAAGATATACACCAGATACAAAAATAAACAAATGGACTTGGGGCCCGGTACAAGAACTCAGTGGCTAAATCCTCATCTTGCATGTGCCAGGAACCCAATATGGGCACTGGTTTGTGTCCTGGCTGCTCCACTTCCCATCCAGCTCCCTGCTTGTGGCCTGGGAAAGCAGTGGAGGACGGCCCAAAGCCTTGGGACCCTGCACCTGCAGTGTAGAACTAGAAGAAGCTCCTGAAAGTGGGCCAATGGACGGAAGATTTTTCTCTCTGTACCTTCTTCTCTGTAAATCTGCCTTTCCGATTAAAAAAAAAATGGACTTGGTTTATAACCAAGATTTGGAGTACTTAATACTTTCAAGCATATAAATACAGATTAAAGCCCACTCTGGTTGTACCAAAAAAGCAAATGATTCTGCCTTGAGATATCATTTCCTTTAAGACAGGAATATGATATCAGCATCAAAAGGTTTGGGAAGAGTGGGAAGAAGAGAGAGCCTCTGTGGTAGGGATTGCAAGGTGCAGAGCCAAAGAGCGGCTGACCTAGGAGTAGGCTGCACACCCACAGGGTGGTTGGTTTTGTGTTTGTTTGTTTGTTTTGTTTTAACTTACCAGAAATACTGTCTTCATAAACTCTTGTGATTTGGACACATGAAATGAGCACTGAACTTCTTTATAGAGCTTGGGAAAGTAAACTGATAGTATCACTATTGCATATCACTATTTTCTATAAAAGAATAACACGCCTCAAAATAAGTTTTGCCTTTGCTTAGGACTGACAGCCACCGGTGCCTCACATGCTCGCTGCTCCCTATTCCAGAGCTTCCAAGGTTTGTCCTATAAATTATGGGTATCCCAAAGGCTGGACACATCCCCCACAGCTCTCTGCTCGTCCTACATAAATATAACCAATTTTATATATCATAAGGGACAGATAGGCTGGGGAGATAGAGAGCATGTTCTTCAACCTCATGGAACTGAGTTCCTTTCTTCCCAGGCTTCCAAAAACCTACACTAAGGGCTTTGGGAAATAGGTTAGCTTACGGTTAAGAAAAAGGGAGCATGGAGAAAAGTGGGTGTTTGGCTGTGTAGTTAAGATGCTGCACCTTAAATAGTACCTGGGTTTGATACCTATCTGAGCTTCCTGCTAATGCAGACCCTGCTAGACAGTGTAGCTCAGATAACTAGCTGCCCATGCACGAGATCTGGATTGAGTTCCAGGCTTCCAACTTTGGCCTCCTTCCAGCTCCAGCTGCTGCAGGCATTTGGGAGCAAGCCAACAGATGGGGCCTGTCTCTCATCTCTGCCCTTCAAATAAATAAGTAAAATTCTGAGGAAGAAACTTTTTTCTCCTTTCACCAACTGCTACTCTCTCTTCATGGTTTTCTATGAATTTACTAAAGGATCGTCCAAATCACAGTTGTCAACACAAATAGCTACGAGGAACCTTAGGGTATGGTGGGATCCAGAGCTCGGGCTGACTAGTAGTACTTGTAGGAATGCCAGCGTGCCTCACAACAAAAAAGGGTAGGCAACTGCAGGCGTGTGTCTCTGTGTGTGTATAAAATATTCCATTTTTAAAATGCTGGCAGGAAATTTTTTTCTGTGTTTTCCTTTTACTAAAAAAAGAAAAGCTGAACATACCTGAAAGCGATGACTCAGTAGGCAGCACTCACCTGCCAGGCCACTCAAGGCTCCAAAGCCAAAGGCTCAGGCATAGGTTTAGTATCCCATCTACTCCACAGCGCCTTTGGTCTTCTCTGACCAATGACAATTCTGTATTTCAGTTTTTATAATCACACTGAACTTCGTCACTATGTAAGCAAGGTGGAAATCTATACACTACATGGTCAGTACACACTGCTGTCATTTAGGCATAAGTAACTGCACTTTTCCTTCCTGAGTTCTCAAAAGGAAAAACATTAAAACACTAAATAATTAATATGATAATCATGTAAGAGAGATGGCGTCTGTATGACTCACTTTAAAAAATCTTCGTAATTAAAAAGCACTACAATAGAGAAAAATGGCTTTTTATCTGACAACTCAACATTACAAGGATAGGGGGGCATTAG